TGGGGTTTTTCTCACTTTATATGATGGCTGAGCAACATTTAGGAGCGTGTGTGATGCACTTGTACCAATTAATCAGTGTTAAAGGGTTTGGGTGGGCATTGTTTATACAGGAGGAGGAGGAGGAACTGAGTGCAAACTGAAGGGGTTTGCTCTGAAAATCTTCCTCATTTTTGTGTTTATTGAATGTTGGTGCCAGAAAGAGACAGGCCTGACACAGAAAGCAAGAAAGTTGTGCTAAACTTGCAGGGAAGTTCATTCTACAGTTCAGGACTGGCCCTTAAAAAGATTCTGCCTTACCCCAGAGGTGTCAGGAACGTTTCCTCTTCAGCATTTGCAGCCAACTGCTCCTCGCATCAGAGAAATCAAATTGTCACTCAAGACCCCAGTGCTCTCTTCAAAGCTTTCCACAGCAGCAGCCTGTGACAGAGCAGCAAAATAATGAAATATCTCATTGTCAGGGGTTGATACTCCACTGGCACTTCCCTTCCTCTGTGGCGTGGTGCAGTGCAGGAGGCACCTGATCCCCTTCCACTCCCCGTGCTGCTCGGAGTCTCCTGTTACAGGAGCGAAAAAAGAACACGTGGTGAGGAAATACAGAACATTCAGGATATTTGACAATATTTGCCCCAGGAACAGCATTCCACAAAGCAGAAAAACCCTGAAAAGAAAAGATTTTGCTCCTTGTGAGGAGTTTGCACTCGTGGGTTTGAAGTTTCATTTTGTTTTGGCTTCGGGTTCAGGGCTGGTTTTCTTTTATCCATCAGTTTTTCTTGTTATTGAGCTTTATTTTCTCCCGTGATTCATCCGACTCCAGGGCATTTATTGAAATCCTTGATACGAAATGCAAGGGAAATGAATATCACTTTAAACTTCCTGAGGACATCTCCATCACCAGATTAAAGTCTCCTGCAGTTTTTTCCAGCTCTTCCCATTACAGACTCAGAGACAAGGTGCATTTCTGGCCAAGGCAGATGTGATTTGTGGCACATCTCCCATCAGACCAGCCATTATTATAATCCACAGTTTTCCAGGGGAAAGAATAAATGCTTCTTTTCTCTAGTAAGACTGAAAAAAACCCCCAAACAGAGATGAGTTTTACAAGCAGTTAAATGCTGTAAATCAAAAGGCCGAGGCAGATGGCAAAGAGTCAATGAGACTCAGAGCTCGTCCATTAACACCTCGCTCAGTTCACAGTTATTAAATTGCTCTTTTCCTGACTCACAGTGCAGTTGATTTTCTTATGGATGGCTGAATGGAAAATATTCTTGTGATACAACTGGAAGCCCAAGGAGTCAAGGAGAGAACAGGTTCTTCTTGGCCTCAGAGAAAGCGAAAACATCTCAAAGAAATCTTGTCCATCCATTAAATAAATATATTTCTTTTAAGGCAAGCAAAGTGCTTTTGCTGTCCTGCTTTCCAGAAGAAATAATTGTTCTGTGATAAGCTCATTTGGCTCCCTTAGCATTGCAAAACTCACATAAATCGGATAAAAAGGAAATGATTGCAGCAAGACTTGGAAAGTTCAGGAGGATTCAGTTTGACTTTAGCAGTGAAGATGACTCAGAAAGTCAAGAGGAATTCAGGAATGCAACATCCCATCCAGAGAGGTTGAAAGCAGCACTTGAGGTCCACTCTTTTGGAGAAAACCCCCCAGAAACTGAATTTCTTTAAAGCCTCGCTACAGAGATGGGCTTCACTCTGTTCTCTCCTTGTCTAGGGCTGCTTGGTCATGTGAAAAACACATTGAGAGAAGGTTTTGAGCTTTTACTGGGGAAAAAAAAAGAGGAGCTTTCTTAGGAAACACCCTTCAGATTAGGGACTGCTAATGCTCTGAAAGTGAGCTGGTGTTAGGGATATTAAACCATAAGAAGATATTAAAATATTGCAACAGCAGCCACACTTTCAGGAAATGGTTTCTCTTGGTATTTGAATTGCAAAGAGATCTCTTTACCAGCACAGGGAGTGTTTAAACAAGGAGCACGGCTGAGAATTCCAACCGGGATTTTTAGCAAATCCCCAGGACGTGCTGGGACTGGGAAGGATGCGGTGCCCTGTTCCCTCACACCGGAGGTTTACGAGCTGTTAACAGTGGCAAAAACACCTCCAGCTCCAGATTTCACACAGAAATCCCTGCTTTCCGTGCTGGCGGGCCACTCCATGCTTTCCCTGCTGTGCCAACAGCTTTGAACACGCAGGAACAGCGCAAACCTTGGAGCTCAGAGGGTGCCAGAGCTCCAGGAGCACGCGGAGCATCCCTGGCAGAGCATTCCCGGGCCAGCATCCCTGGCTGAGCATCCCTGACCGAGCATCCCTAACTGAGCATCCCCGTTAGAGCATCCCTGACAGAGCATCTCTGACCGAGCATCCCCAGCCCAGCATCCCCATCAGAACATCCCTAACCGAGCATCCCTGACCGAGAATCCCGGTCAGAGCATCCCTGACCGAGCATCCCTGACCGAGAATCCCGGTCAGAGCATCCCTGACGGAGCACCCTCATCAAAGCATCCCTGACCGAGCATCCCCGGCCCAGCATCCCCATCAGAACATCCCTAACCGAGCATCCCTGACCGAGAATCCCCGTCAGAGCATCCCTGACGGAGCACCCTCATCAAAGCATCCCTGACCGAGCATCCCCGGCCCAGCATCCCCACCAGAACACCCCCGGCGCTCAGCTGGGAGTGCCTGCGAGGGGCAGGGCAGCCCGCAGGGAAGGGCCGCTCCCCCCCGAGGGGTTCCTGGGGGTGGGAACCCATCTCGCTCCTCTCT